CTACCCACAGAAGCCAGAAGATTGGAAACAATAGTATAGGGGCATGGGTGGCTCAGTTAGTTGAGCATCTGACTCTTGATTTCAGCTCAGATCATGATCTCAGTGTTGTGGGATCGAGCCTGGCATCGGGCTCCAACTCATTGTGGAGGCTGCTTAAAATTCTCACTCTTGCTCTCCCACTGCCCCTCTCTTCCGCTGGTACATGTGTGTGTTCTCTTATGTTAAAAAACAAAAAGTCACAATAGTATATGGTCATGACTAAAAGGGGATGAAATGAAAAGTGCAACTGTCTCTTTCCCCTATAGGCCTCTTCCTCCGAGGGGTAAATGTCATTATTAATTTTTTATGTTTCCTTCCGGGAGAACTAATGGGTAACTATGTTATGTTCTCTGACTGGAGTCAATCTTGTGAATTTCATGTTTCAAGAGTATCCTCAACACTACCAAAAAGTTTTGATTTCAATGCAGTTTGGTAAATATTTTGGGTACTTTGAAGTTCCTCTGTGTTTTTGTTTCTCTATTTTAAAATGTCAATATTGTATTTCTCCTTTGTTAATTAGGTTCAGCAGTAAGTTACCTGTGATATTACTACTTTGTCCTTGTAATTTGCTTTTCAATTTATGTATCCACCCTTTATTCTGTGTTCTAGTTTATTAAGTTTCTTTGTAACTTTGTTATTTTCTTCCTTAAATTTATGTTGTTAATCTTTCTAAGGTTGGACTTTCATAGTTCATTCTTCTGCTTTTACTTTTTTCTTGTTACATAGTTATGTAAGGCTATGTATTTTTCTCTGCTTTTAAACTTCAATATTAGTGTTTTAATTATAAAAACCTTGTAAATACTCTGTAATTGCAATTCTGATGACTTCTTTGATCCCAGACATTTTCCTGGAGAAAAATGTTAAGATTGTAGGTAGTTGCAGATTTTCTCTTTGATTTTGGTTATTATTTTTTTAGCTTTATTTTGTGTGTGTGCACACATTTAGAGCACAGTCTACACTATTTATACTTTTCATTCTAATCTCTGCAAAATTTTTTGTAATTATTGACTGATTGAAATAAAGTATATTACTTGTTATTAGGATATAGCTTTTTAATATATTTTATTACTTTAGCTTCAGTTGTTTTGTTCAGAACTTATTACATATCTATGGTCTATTTTGTTTCTTAGCATTTCTTACAGTTCATAATGAATTATTTATGATATTTATTGTTTAACATTTTCTGCTTATTAGTTAATTACTGTTGTGGATTAGACTTTTTGCCTTCTGTTTTTTGTCTCTTTCAGACTTCTCTTCCTTAAATTTGAACCTCTCTAATAATTATATCACACCCTCAACATTTTATTAATGTTTTCTCAGTCTGGATATTTTTAGCCCTTAAAAGTTAGCCTTTTCTGTATTGCCTCATATTATCTGTATTTTATACAACACGTATTTGTCGCTGCTTACCCAACCTGTCATAATTTTGTGTACATTTTAATGCATATGTTGACATTTTGAGAGAAAGAGTATACTCAGACTTAATTCTGTCTTCTTGACATCTTTTCTGCTTTCACTACTGTGAGTTCAACTGAACCAGTCTTTAAATCCACAAACTATGGGGGAACCTGAGTGGCTCAGTAGGTTAAGCGTCCAACTCTTGATCTCGGTTCAGGTCCTGATCTCAGTTTCATGAGTTCAAGCCCCACATCAGGCTCTGTGCTGAGGCTGCAGAGCCTGCTTGGGATCCTCTCTCTCCTCTCTCTCTGCCCCTCCCCCACTTGCACCATTGCTTTCAAAATAAATAAATGAACATTAAAAAAAAATCCACAGACTAGTACCCATTTTACCAAACTTTTTTTTTTCCTTTGGAGGACAGGATTTGGACTCTCACTTCTTGAAATTATTAGTCTAATTCTTTGCCAGTGGCGTGATCAAGCTTCAGTAGCCTTAGATATAGGGCAAAATTAAATCACACATGAGTCTGTGAAAACAGCTTTAGGCTGATGAATTCTCCTCAGAACTACAAAATCAATGTGAATTTGAGCAAACCTTGCATGAAAATAGCTTCTGTGGAAAAAAAACAAAAATAAAAAATAAAAACAAAAGCAATAAACATTTAGATCTTCTAAGAAACTGAATTCTCAACTTGAGTTAGAGCAGTTCAAAAGTAATGGCTAAAGAATAGTAAGTAGGTATTACTGCTCAAAGGTTTATGAGCCAGCGAGGTGGGTCTTCTGGTCTCGTGGGATTCTGTTACACATCTGTGGTCAGGTGGGGGTGACACAGGTAGGCTCTCTCACTATGTTTGGGTGTCACCAGCTGTAGGCGGGTCTAGTACGACCTCAGCTAGGACAATAGAGCCCTGCTGTGTATGTGAGCTCATCCTCTCACAGTCTGGTAGGGGCTTTTTCCCAAGGTGCTGGCAGTACTCCAAGAGAGTGTGGAAGTGGGGAGGCCCCTCAATATACAGACTAGGAACTGGCTCCCTTCGGAATGTTCCATTAGCTAAACCAAGTCCAGCCCAGATTCAAGAAATGGGAAAACAAACACAGCCACCTTCTGATGGGGGTTGTAAAGTCACAGTGCAAAGAGCATGAAGGATTGAAGAATTCAAACACATGAGCCATTGACTGATAGGCTACTACTTAGAATTAATATCTCTTTGCATTCACATCCTCTATTTCACACACCTCAGGCTTTTATAGCAGCTTGAGTATTCTTCATTAAAAAGAAGACCTAAACAAACAAACAAACAAATAAATAAATAAATAAATAAAAATAAAAGGAAGACTATTTCATCACCTTTAAAAAAAAATGGAATGAAGCTTATCATGCAGCAATTCATTTGGAGGCTCTTAAAATGTGTTATCTTACATCCTGACGTCAGCATTTCTATGTTGGAGTTTTGAGATTTTCCTAACTCTGGGAGTATTAAAAATGTTTACATGCCAACTCAAGAATTTTGCCAGCATCTATACATTTCAGAGTAAAGAAATTGGAGAAAATTAATATTTATCCATATACTGGTGTTTATAAAACACTAGTATAACGTAAGCAAGATGGGTTTTATACAACTACTGATGGCTGTTTTATAGTCATGTCCTTCTTCAGTAATTGTTCTATTTTTTTGAATGATTAAGTTACATATTTGAGATTTGTGAACATATGAACTATCCCATGATTCCACAAAAGTTATGTTTATATTGTTTTTCTCATTCATACTATAAGCAGTCTCCAGTTAAATAAACCTGGCTGTGAAGTGAATGACCCTTAGGAACAAAGAAGCTTTCCAAATTTATTTGTCTTAAATTTGGCAGGCCTGTCTCAGATACATGAATCTTGTTCTAAAAGAAATCTGTTATTTACCCCTTTTGAACTTGTCAAGATCAACAATGACTTGAAGTCATAGTGTTTCATAGAGATGTTATTTGGTAAAACTGCTGGCAATCAAAACTGGAAATTAAAAAATATTCAGAAAGTATAAATTAGTCATACATTTTCTTATTTGACAAACCATTCACATGTAAAGTGAAATGAGAAATTCTGATAATTCTTCATTTTTAAAAAATGTTTATTTTTGAAAGAGAGAGAGAGAGGGAGAGAGTGTGTGTGAGTAGGGGAGGAGCAGAGAGACAGAGAGAGAGAGAGAGACAGAGACAGAGACAGAATCTGAAGCAGTTCTCCAGGCTCTGAACTGTCAGCACAGACACAGGGTTCAAAATCACAGATCATGAGAATGCTTAACCAACGTGAGGGCACTTAGCCACCTGAGCCACCCAGGTGCCCCAGAATTTGGACAATTCTTCAATACTTTATGAGTGCTACTTGATTAAATATTAATAAGGTTTCAGTTATATATTGGAATAATTATCATTTTTAACAAAATGAGAAAAATTACTTGCTTCTATAAGTTATCTCCTTTGTGGTCAGTATCTGTTAGGTGATATTCTGAAATGGAAATTTTGGAACAAGTGTGATATCCCATATTATTAAAGCCAAATTTGAATGATTCACCAATTGGTCATTTTTATTATAATCAATTTCTGTCAGTGATCTCTAAAAATAATTAATTAATATAAGAATGCTGGTTAACTATTTATCCATAGAAGAAAAATTTTGCTCTGCTCTCAATGACACTTGACTAGTAAGACAAATTAGGTTTGGGCAAATTTTACTAAATAAACTGTAGACTTGTGAGTTTACATGACTTGCCCAAGTTCAGAGCCAGTCTAGGGTAGACCTAGGATATTGCCTGCCCCAAAACCCCTGCTCTCCCAAAACAGCACTGACCTTTGACCCTATCTACTTACCCTTGTGGGGGAGCTGAGCCATCAGCTGCGATGACAGAGGCTGAGGAAGTAGTTCAGAGCACACGCGATGGGATAATCTGAGAAATTGTCACAGAAAGAGCAGACTCAGCTTCTAAGCACTTCTTTCTAGCAAATAGATGCAATTTCTTTTTAATTGGAATCATGGAAAATGTCAATAAGTAAAGCACCTGGATTTCAACTCCTATATTAAAATTCACTCTGGCAATGTAAAATCTGCATTTTATTTCATAGCAAATAAGGACCAATCAATAATATCGGTAATGCTATTCATTATAAAAATTTTGGGTTTTTTGTATCTCATGAGTATATTCAGTTGTCACTCAGCAAATACTCCTCCTTCTCATGACCTCATGGAAGAAGGAGGGTACTTTCTTGTCCCATTGGTGTCATGTGACTCTCTTAGGCCAAAGGAATATGATTCAAAGTGACAGTGTGCTAACTCCAACCTACACCTTAGTGTCCACAAGTGTCCTTCAGTCCTTCTTGAGAAGATCATGCTTCAAGTAGCTGCCAGTCCAAAGAGAATGAGGGACCTGTGGACCAGATATGGACCCAACCTGTAGCTTGGAGCCCCATGTACAGCCTACATCAGCTGAGTCTCAGCCAACCTGCAGTGAAATAATTGGTGCTAAGTGGTTAGAAGGCTAAAATTACTAGATTATGATATTCACATTACTCACATTTCAGGAGAGTGGGAGCTACATCAAGTCTTCAAGCATAAAAAGAAGTAGCCACGTTATCCTCTCTGGGAGCAATGTGTAAAGACTTCAAATGGCATTTATTCCTTTAGCTCCTCCCCCAGAAGAGGAAAAACATGATTTCAGTTTGGCGCCAAGACTTTCAGCATGCATGAGGCAATATAAGGAATGGCTGGACTGCTTTGTGAATAACTCAAAATTGGACATTTGCAGCATGATGGCTTAATTCCCAAAGGAAATCATGAACCTGAACCTCTGGAAATATGATTGTCACCTTATTTGAGTTTCCTGAATAAGAACAATCACATAGTAAATATCCTGCAATTGTTCTCTGTTGTCTCCATGTGGTCTTTATCGATAGGAGCCTTCATGTCATCTGCGAAGAGTGAAAGTTTGACTTCCTCTTTGCCAATTCTGATGCCTTTGATTTCCTTTTGTTGTCTGATGGCTGATGCTAGGACTTCCAGCACTATGTTAAACAACAGTGGTGAGAGTGGACATCCCTGTCGTGTTTCGATAGGAGCCTTCAAATGAGGCCTTCAGGTAATTAAGTTAATTGAGTTAATTATATTTTCTCTAAAGTATTTGAATAGCCTTCCTAACAATTAACTACATCTGAGCACTAAGTGAATTATTGACTTATCTCATTTAGGACTGAAAGCAAATCTAATAAATGCTGTTGAAACCTGTTATGAATCACTTTCAATTTACCTAAGAACTTACAGTACTTATTATAGGATTTCTATGGTGGGGCCTACCAGCATTGAATTCATCATGAAGAGCTAGTTAATCAATGGGGCAGTCCCCATGTTTATTAGTGACAAGAGCATGGGTGTATGGATATCTCTCTGAGACCCTGCTTTCAATTTTGGGGGGTATAATACCCAGAAGTTGAATTGCTTGATCATACAGTAATTCGATTTTTATCAAATTTTACTTTTGTGAGGAACTACCATACTATTTTCCATAGTGGCCACAATATTTTACATTCCCATCAACAGTGTACAAGGAGTCTGATTTCTCCACATCTCTACTAACACTTGTTATTTTCTGGTTTTTAGCAGTAGCCATTTCAGTGAATGTAAGGTGATATCTCATTGTAGCTTTAATTTGCCTTTCCCTAATAATTAGTGAGATTGAGCATCTTTTCATGTGCTTATTGACCATATGTATATCTTCTCTAGAGAAATGTCTACTGAAATCTGTTGTTCGTTTTATAATTAGGTTTTTTGTTTTGTTGGTGGTGTTGAGTTGTAAAAGTTCTTTATATATTTTGGGTATTAACCTTTTATCAGGTACATAATTTGCAAATATCTTCTCCCATCTCATGGGTCGCTTTTTCAATCTGTTGTTTGTGTTCTTTGATGCACAGAAGTTTCTAAATTTTGATGTAGTCCAGTTTGTCTATTTTTACTTTTTTGTCTGTGCTTTTGGCACCATATTCAAGAAATTGTTGCTAATCAATCCATTTACTTTTAGCAAAGCCTGTCTTCTAAGGTACAAAGATGATTTACCATGCAAATCAACTGGATAACCTGCATTAATTTGCTTATTCAAAACAGAGGCTATTAAAAGTGAATAAATTAAAATTGGTGAATCTGAGCTTTTATTGAAACTTTAACTTTTTTAAAAAAGTATTAAATTATATTTAAGTAGTTGGTTACTTTGCATGAATTTTCTAATTCATGTCAAGTTCATAGATTATCTGAAATTGAAACATAATAGGAATGGATTGAAGTCAAAGGTTATGTATTATATGTCTTCGTTTTGTCAAATTGTTTAGTAGAGTGAGTACCAATAAGCACCTACTCAATAAACCCTTAAAATAATAATCTATTAGCCCAGGAGTAGTGATTAGTATTATTTATACCATGTATTTACTTTGTGGATGAACACATTGAGATCATGAAGGAAAAGTCATGTACGTGATCAATATAGAACACAAAAGAGATGCCTTGCTTGAAGGTAAAAAGAAGAATGCACAGGTTTAGAAATCTGGACAGCTTGTCTGAACTAATGAGATAATTGATGTCTGTGGGATGCAGATGTGCATGTGATGTCACCCTTTATGTATGAGCAAGTGGTGCAATAGGAACATCAGGATACATTTTGGGTCTCTAAGAAATCTTATTCCAAGAGTTTTTCCCCCAGTCCTATAAATGCTCCTGAAAACCATCACCTTGTCCCTTGGGGGGCTCTCACATCTCATGCATCCCCCAGATATTAGTAAGACATTTTGAGAGACACAAAGAGATGCCCTGTGCAAGTTGCCATCCTGGTTGACCACATTTCATATTTCTGACTCCTGTTATTCTATAGAGTTTACAGTATTTTAGACTTGAAGGAGCCTTCCAAGTCACTGAGTTCACATTCCCTTCTTTTCAGATAGGAGAACAGAGGCCTAGAGGGGCAGTGACTTGATACAAACTGCCAATAACAAGTGGGGTCAAGATCCTAATTGGACTCCCAGATTCAAAAACTTACATAATGTTAGCAATATCACCAAAAGCAAAAACAAGAGAGAGATGATGCATTTCAGGCATGCATTGCAAAACTTGAGCTCCCTCCTTGTTTTGCAGGTTGTGAAAGCTTGCTTTCCCTCAGCCATGCACAAAGCCAGAAAATCTTTGGCTTCTAGCATTCTAACTGCTCCAGCCTAGCAACAAAGCCACAGGGATCCTGGCCATGGCACTTCCATTTCCCAGCTCTAGACAGGCTTTAGCTGGTCTCAGTACCACCAGAAATGAGATGACTGGACTCTGTCCCAATTCTCCACTTTCAGCTACCTTGGATAAAAGGGGCTTAATTCTGTAGTGGTTAGCATACTTGAAGTATGGTTGCTTCTGAATTCATACACAAAAAACTTGTATTGACAAGTTTGCCAATTCTCCAAAATGTTCAAATTCATCTGACCTTCTAAACCACAACATCCACTGGAAAATTATTGGACATCTGGAGAGTCATCTGGGGTTGAATTACATTTTTGATGTGCTGTGAAATGGGGTCAGTGCATTAGAATTACATTTGAGTAGTTATGAATGCACTGATAAAATGCTGCTCTTCAGTGCAAATTGGCAACTCTCCCAGTCTTCAGGAAGCTTCAAAGAAATGAATTTCAAAGCCCTTGATTAACAAATACGTACAAGAAGTCAGAAAAGACAAATTAAGAATCCTCTGTTAAAGTACACAATACGTCCTAGACTTATTTTACAAGCTATGATTTTAATTAGGGCCTATTTGCACTGTAAAGGGCAACATTGTTCCATGGCTTGAGTAGCAAGTAGCAAATAAGGAAGGAAGCTCCTTTTTCTCTTAGGATTTGTGGTTCCAGTGAAGTCATTGTACTTGGTCAACTATTTTCTAGACTGCTTAATAGAGTAACAATGGGACAAAGAGATGGCAGTTGTGGGGGTTCAGATTTCCACTGGATGTTATAAAGCACTTCTTAACAAAGGGCTGTCTTATGCATTTCATAAAAAATGTTTAAGCAGAAGCTGAACAACCATGTTTCAGGGATTTTGTAGAATCTCTCTCTTAATTGGCTGAGAAGTGTATTCAGACTTTCAAGGTCCTTTTGAGTTTTAAGACTGAGCTGCTACAGTCTATAAAATGAAGCTAAAAGGAACCCTAGTTGAATCGGTGGTAAATAATATGTCTTAGAAATGAATTATCACTTAACAGCATTTAGAATTCAGCTAACCTAAAGCTAATTTTTTGGAACCCACGCTGAGGCTAATGGATGGTCACCAGGGAGCTGCACAAACCTGGCAGGGCATGCAAACCCTGCACCCTGCAGGGCCAGCAATTCTCTGAAAGCACCTGGAAGACAGGTGTGCTGTGGAGGCTGATGGCAAGCCTCTAGATATTCAAAATGTAAAGCACTTTTGGTTTCTTTTCTTACCAGGTCATTATCATTGACCTAATCCTTTACATCAGCAACACACAGAAAATGAGAGAACTCTGGTAAAAATGGCAAAGCCCATGCAAGAAATCCTTGTTGGGGCACAACTGTGGCTCATTACCCCCTGAATGCTAGCACAGTTGAGTGTAGAAGTTTCTTGGGTGTCCAAAAGCTATACAAGGCAAAGTTGTATGCTCGCCTTGGTGCCCTTCAGTTTAATCACACCCAAGGCTTGCATGTCATGATCTTTCTCCCTTTCTCTATGCTCGTCTCCCTCATCCCTGCCCACAGTTCTTCCCTCGGATCCCTGACTCAGGCAATGCCTCATATTCAGGACCTGCCCTTCTGCCTCCTTTGAGTCAAAATTGTCCTAGCCATGCTCTCATCCTTCTGTGCCTTGTAGCTAAGTTGCTGAGTGAACTAAGACTTAAAGGCAAATAAGTACATACTCTGTGTACCTCTTTCATGATATTTCATGATGGTTGAGTTTTCTTAGAATTGAAAAACCATTTCACAAAATAACATCTCTGTGATTGCAAATGGAGTGCAGGTGGTCAGGAGCAATAGTTTAAAGTGTGGTCTGGTTGTACCCTCCACGTCCCACCAGCTAGGTTACCCACGCTACATCTGTATGTAAAATTGGGAACTATGTAATGGAGAATTCTGTTTAAATCCCTTACTATAGTTCATACTCATTGGGCAAAATTTATCAGTTTTTTCAGTGAAGTAGCTACTGTACTCTTGAACCAACACCATGACTAAAACATGGATAACAGTATTAAAGTTAATTCATTGTTTCCTAAAAGTGTAAGTAGTTTTCTTCTTTCTTGCTGCATTTATTTGTAATTTTTTTCCTATTCCTTTTTTTCACTTTATTGATGAGGAGCTGTATATATTTAAGGTATTAAGGTATATAGTCTTTTAAATATATAGTCTATATTTAAGGTATACAGCTTGATGTTTTGATATATGTATACATCTTGGAGTAATCACCACACTCAAGCTAGTTAACACATCACCTCACATGTTTTCCTTCTGGTGTGTGTGTGTGTGTGTGTGTGTGTGTGTGGCAAGAATGCTTAAGATCTACTAAAAGTTTAAGTATTTGTTGTTCATGGGACTAAGCTCGTTACTTTTCCTTACTGAGTTGAATTTTGCTACTTTTTTCGTAAGGAGTTCATTTATCTTAATATAGACTCAAATGATCCTTTCAGTTTGTCAGGAGGAAATACTTTAATAAGTTTAGATGTCAAAAGTCCACAAGGCAATGGACATGAAATATGAGGACAAGGGTTTGGTTAAGAAGCTGTAATCACAATGGCTAAAATTGCATCAATTTACCACACTCTTCTGCAAACTAGCCAAATATTGCTCCTGAGAAATTACAGCTATATGCCATGCATTATATGGATTTATACCATAAGCCCC